AAATAAATTCTAAATAAAAAAATGTTTATTAATTATTCTTTTAATTTTTGGTTTGGAGATAACTGCCATCCACCTACATTCGGCTTAACCTCCCTAAAAGTCTTCAAATTATTTGTTTTTGAGATCATTAGCCCCTCAATATATACTTTATGTATTTTAATTTATAAACTTCATGTTATTATTATAATTGACCTAAAATAAATTAAATCTTATTATGTGAGTTATGTGATCATCACTATTTTATTACCCTATCGTTCTTAATGTCATACTAACATAAATAAAATTCACTTGGGCCCATACATGGAGTGGGAAAATCTCACCTATGAGGTGAGATTTTTTGTCCTCCATGGATCTAAGTGATCATATTTATACCAACATAACATTAACAAGGATATGACAATGAAGCAATGATGATCATGTGACTTATGTGATAGGATTTTATCTATTTTAAGTTAATTAAAGTAATCATATAAAGTTTATAGATTAAAGTAAACAAAATATATGATGCATATGGATTAATGAGCATTGATGGACTCGGATGCAAGCACACATGATCTCGTAGTAGAAATGGAAGAATCACCCTGCGTGAAAAGACTTGATAGAGCCCTTATATTATCAACTTACTGCTTTTAAGAAAAAAAAAAAAAAACCTATATTTAACCCAACTTTACCTGTTGGAGTAGAATAAAATTTTGAAAACTGAGCGAAACTAGCACTAATTTAACATGCATAGATATCATTTGGAAATATGATTTATGGATAATTTTTGTGTGAATTTTTTTTATACTTTTATATATTATTTAATGACATATTATTTTTTACTTTGATGAGACTTACATATAAATTTTATATATTTTATTTTATTTTTTCATTTTCAATAATTAAAATTTATCACATTTTTAGATAAAAAAAGATAATTATCTTAAATAAACACAATAAAAAATAAATAAAAATTATAAATAAAAGTTACTGTATACAAATAAATTATATTATATGCATATCATTTTCATTTTGATAACCCTAAACAAAGAAAACAAGGGGGAAAATGGATAGCCTTGAAAATGGAGAGTTTTTAGTGATGAGTTAAGGGTGTGGGTTGGAAACAAAGAGGAATGGAGCTGGTTTGGATGATTAAACGTAGTGAGACTTAGGTAAGAAAGAAAGGGAATGATTAAAGGCAGTGAGAATTAGGTAAGAAAGAAAGGGAATGATAATAATCATTTAATAAATTTTTTTTAAA